AACTCACACCTGCTTGGTGCACAGTAAATAGATGCTCAGCTGGCACTCTTCTGTTTCCTGCTGGAGGTTGTGAACAGTGCTAGCACTCATTTTGATTGTACAATTTTACTGATTCTTGTCTGATCTCATATGCTCTTCAGAATCTTCCCAGGGAAGTTTTGGTTTCTTTTCATAGAGTTTTGATCCACCAGTTTATTACTTTTAGTTTTCACAAAATATTACCATGGCCACTTTAAAGACCTTCAATATTGAAATTCATAAAAATTACATAATTTGGTTATTGTTGGTTTGGTATTATTTACTCCCTCCTTCATTACTCCCTGCGGATAAAGTGAAGGTTCCTGTGGCCAGGATTCTCACCTGGCCCTGGTCGGCTTGCTCACTACACACATGTGGGCAATACATTGTTATTGACTCTATATAAAGAGCTCTGCCCAGTGCTCAAGGCGACACAGTGGCATGGCTGCAGGAGAGCAGAGGCTGGAGTGGTGGCAGTGCCGAGGACAGAGACTGAGACAGCTGCACGGGTGGAGAGGCCGAGAGGCAGACACCGGCTTGCTGCACGCAGATTCACTCTCAGTGGATGGAATTCTGGTGATTGGCCTGCCACCATGGGGATAAAGTTGGGTATAAACCCTTTCACCACAAGAACGTTCCACTGTCATTTCCTTGGTCTCATTGATCCATAGTGAACTTGTCTGGGGCTGAAACCCATTGGCAAGATACTCCCTCCCTCACTTGCCCCCATCCCCCACACACCAATTTAACAAATGATTTTATGATACAATTTTGAAACGAGAATTTCTTAGTAATATGACTCTTATGTAGTAGCAAAAGATTTTTAATTTAAAACTCAGTATGCAGTGTGAAGTACGGTTTCTGAGCAGATTAAGTTTTATATTAGGAACCATGGGTTTAGAAAGACTAAACATACAGTGTAGATGCTTTGCAGTAAAAGGAGACAAGAAATGGAGGAAAATACGATGAATGAAAGATGCCTGCATTTGGACTCTTTATGTCTGGGAGAATAGCAGTGACACTAATAACCCCAATCATTAAGACATAAGGACAAATGTGATAAAATAACATCTGAACTGACTGTATTTTAGAAGTATGCATGATTCTGTCATGAAATTTTGATGTCAGTAACAAATTCAAGTGTCGCATTGTTTCCCCAAAAGTACACAATCCAGCCAGATTACTTATAAGAAACAATTACAATCAGTTTCTTAATAATTTATATTTTTCCAGGTGCATCCTGTCTCTCCATGTTTTCAAAGAGGTTGAACCTAATGGTATGAATAGACAATTATGTGCAATGCCTTTTATAAAGTGCTTCATGTTTAAACTAACACACTGAGATGTTACCATGGAATTTAACTCCTAGTAATAGAGTATACATGCAGTATTAAAATTGCACTTAAAACCCATCTATTTATTAGATGTCTTATTTCTTCTACTGGTATGTTTCCAAAATATATTTTCAATAATCAAGATTAGAATTAATTCAACAGTTGGAGGTCAAATATTAATCATAAAGTGTTTTCTCACAAGCATAGGACTTTAAAAATTAAATTAATTAAGTAGTTAGATCAAAGGTAAAATCTTAAATTATCCAAAGGGGGCCTTTGCCATGCAATCTAATTATTAACCTATTTTCTAATGTAAAAAAAGCATACTTAGTTATGTACAAATGTGCTTTTAAAAGTTTTTCAGTGGAATTGATAAATTAAGGATTAGCCTCAACTCACCTTCCTTAGATCAACCAGTGTCTAGAAATCCTCCAAATGCAATAATTAATTGGAATGTATCTGAACAACCTGACATTATCTCTTGACAAATTCTTTTGTTCTCTTCTGAGTTAGTATGATTTATGCAAGTGTGTGTCTATAGCAGACATTTCCTGTGAGATGAGAACACATTGCAGCATTAATGCATTGCCCAAGTTTCTTTGGAATGCTGCACCTTAGTTTTTAAATCTTAACAAAATTATTGCATTTGGTAAGGTTTATTTTATTGTTTTCCAATAGAGAGTACTCTGATGTCAACTGAAAGTATTGAATAAAATTTTAATAAACAATCTGTATGGATATGTAGGTAGAATTTCCATGTGAGCAAAAAAATTCATTGAATAATCGACAGCTCAACACTTTCATGATCACTGAGGTTTTTTAAAATTTTCGTAACTCTTTCCATTATATCCAAAATTCTATTTCTGTTGAGAATATATATCCAGTTGTTTAACCATTTTATTGATTTCTTCTTCCAGCTGCCATAAATATACTGTTTTATTCCATAGTTTCATTTAGGTTCACAGGAAGTCTATAGGATTATGGTAATACCACATACTTCACATTCAATAAGGGTGTGGGAAAGGGGACAGCGTACTTGGAAATACCATACCGAAAGATAGTCCAAGGATGACCTTTAGCTAGAAAATATGATGCTGCCATAATAAGTAATTAGAGTAGCCCTGGGGATTTGCCCACTGTAGAAACACAGAGCTAATCTGATAAAGGGCTATTTGAAGCAAATTGACTCTTAAGTTTTTGCTCCCTGTGGGACATTGCAGGCTGGTCTGGTTCTCTTGGCTGCCACTGAGCCTCCTTTTGGAAACAATACCTGAAAAATAACTAATTACCTGTCTGTTATGTCCCTTTTCCTTAAACAGAACTTAACCTCCCATGACAATGGTTTTCTACTTTAGATGCATATTAAATGCCAAGGGAGTTTTTAAAACATATCTTGGGGTTGGAGTTATCCAAACCCATTAAATCAAAATCTCAGGATGGGAGGTGGAGCAGAATTTGGTATTTTGTAAGAGCTCTTTATGGTGGAGAACCACTGCCCTAAGACAGGAGATCACAGGTGTCCTCTTCTCCTGGTCTTAGTCACCTCACCAAATTGCATCCCTGCTCCAGTGGGATGCCCAGGGCCGACTCAAATCACAAGTTGTCTGAAGTTCACATTTCAAGCTCCACCCCAATCTTGGCTTGCTGTCCCCAAGATACTGAGGTTGATGGTAGCATTTTGATAACATGCTTGTTAAAATTAAGGATGAAGAATTTAGGGGAAGAATTACAACATAGTTACAGCATAAGAGTACTAAAGGTCATTTTGAAACAAAGAAACCAACCAAATACTGAAGAGTTCATACATAATGTTCAATAAAGCAGAAATAAGTCTTACTAAGGCAGACTGTATAGAGTATAGAAGCCAAAATCTTTACTCAGTTGTGAGTAAGGCTCTCTCTGATCCAGACATCCATCTCAGACAATCCCTAAAGAGGTTTTTAAATGCAAATATTTATAGAGACATACACTGACAACAACTGAATGTGTTCAGTGGAATGAGAATAATAGAGTCTGCTTCAAATAAGCATACACACAAACTACATGTGCAATACAATTTTGCTATTAACTATTGGTTTCTTCTCTCTAAATAACTGGAACCCCTAAAACTCATGAAAGAAAGTAGTTGCATCTTAGGGCCAACTATCAGAGTAGAAGTGGCAACATTTGGTATGTAACTGAGAAGGATTATAGAGGCATGCTGGACTCCAAAGGTAAACAAATGCCTGGTTCAATCAGCAGTGTTTGTTATGGGTATAGGAGAGTGTCTGTGGGCACACAGTCAATGTGCTTGCTAAGGCTGTCTTAGCCTTGTATGGATAATTTACACCCATGCTCCTGACTTTGTCCTTCTGGACGGTCCTCCCTGTTCTTTTTTATCTAGTTCTACTTAATTTACTAATCTTTATTCTGTATTCAAGAGTTCTAACACTTTACACTAGGAGCAGGCATTTCTTCATATTTCATCTTTCATACTAATTGCAAAAAATTCCTTAGTTTCTCTTTATCGGTAAGAGTTTAGACTTTGAGTCCCTAGTGACTGGTTTCTTTGTTGAGAGGGGGAAGGGACCTGTAGGAGGTTCAGTTCTAAGGACTTATGATCTTAATTTAAAAAACCTGAAGAGTTTTTTTCTAATATACTATGGAAAACGGCTGTCACCAGTAACATATTTTCAAGAAACAGCCTTGGTCTTCTTTTGCGCAAAGTGCTGTCTCTCTGTACTCGGAGCTGACCTGCTGTGGTGGGAAGGCATTTCTGTTCTGCTCTGTGTCTCAATAAGAAAAGCAATCATCAATTCAAGGCTAAGTGAAAACACACCTCCACCAGAAGCCATGAACCCCGTGCAGCTTTATGGCTGATGCAAACAAGAAATCTACTTTCAATGCTTTCACACTCACTTTTATTTAGACTGTACTAAAATTACTGTGAAAATTATGCTGTAATTCCTCCAGCATGTTTTTCAGCTATTTCATAAGTCACTTCATATGAGTTAGTTTCATACAACAAAATTTCTTATCAGCATTAGCACTATTTCTTAGCCTCACCATAAAATATATGAGATAGGAAAGTTAATTGAAAATAGAATAGAATGGCTGAATTTCAGCATAATACCTATAAATTTAACACAGAACCTAAAAGACAAACCAGATTATACTACTTTGTATCTAAACATCTTGCATCTTGTTTCCAATAGGATTTTTTTGTTTAACACTATTACAATCATCCAAACATACTATCCAAGTAAAGAATTTTAAAGTCTTCCATATTCTGGATCAAATTTAGGAGTTTAAAATAAATTTCTAATGTAGAATGAACTCTGTCTTGATTAGTTATGATGCTACAATGATAGAAATACTTTGAAGACCTGAATTTATTAAGAAAATTAACACATTTGTAACAATGTTTATCACGGAAAAGGACAGAAAGGGTATAATTAAACAGTATTAGAAAAAAATAAAAGTTCATAACTATAGTTGGAGTAGAATTTTAAAAAATCAAAAAGTAGTAGTGGGAACAACTTTGTGTCAATAAATTTGAAAAAAAATAGTTTAAAGGGCTTTTTACGTCGGCGCGTAACGCGGGGGTGCTTGTGAGGTCATCGTGCGACCGGGCGGGGTCGAGTGGTTTGAACGACACAAAGATGGAACCGCAGCCAGGCGTGGGCAGTAGACGCTGTCCCGCCGAGAGCCGAAGATGGCAGTGAACATATACTCAAAGTCAGTCACCAGTGATAACCTAAGTCAACATGACATGCTGGCCTGGATCAATGAGTCTCTGCAGTTGAATCTGACAAAGATCGAACAGTTGTGCTCAGGGGCTGCCTATTGTCAGTTTATGGACATGCTCCTCCCTGGCTCCATTGCCTTGAAGAAAGTGAAATTCCAAGCTAAGCTAGAACATGAATACATCCAAAACTTCAAAATACTACAAGCAGGTTTTAAGAGGATGGGTGTTGACAAAATAATTCCTGTGGACAAATTAGTAAAAGGGAAGTTTCAGGACAATTTTGAGTTCGTTCAGTGTTTCAAGAAATTTTTTGATGCAAACTGATGAAAAAGACTATGACCCTGTAGCTGCCAGACAAGGTCAAGAAACTGCAGTGGCTCCCTCCCTTGTTGCTCCAGCTCTGAACAAACCAAAGAAACCTAAAGGGAAGTTTCAGGACAATTTTGAGTTCGTTCAGTGTTTCAAGAAATTTTTTGATGCAAACTGATGAAAAAGACTATGACCCTGTAGCTGCCAGACAAGGTCAAGAAACTGCAGTGGCTCCCTCCCTTGTTGCTCCAGCTCTGAACAAACCAAAGAAACCTCTCAGCTCTAGCACTGCAGATGATAGCCCTAATCACCCCAGCAGAAAAAAGACCCCAGCGAAGGACTTACTCCCAGCACAAATGATCGTGACTAAGATCGCTCCACAGAGGCCCACTGCAACACACAGAACTACTACAACCCCTAAGGCCGGCCCGGGTGTGGTGCGAAAGAATCCTGGTGTGGGCAATGGGGATGACGAAGCGGCTGAGTTGGTGCAGCGGGTCAATGTATTGAAACTTACTGTTGAAGACTTGGAGAAAGAAAGAGATTTCTACTTTGGAAAGCTAAGGAACATTGAATTGATTTGCCAGGAGAATGAGGGAGAGAACGACCCTGTATTGCAGAGGATTGTGGACATTCTCTATGCTACAGATGAGGGCTTTGTGATACCTGATGAAGGGGGCCCACAGGAGGAACAAGAAGAGTACTAACAGCCTGAACCAGCAGAGCAACACCCCAACTCTTCACTCCAAATCATGTGCTTAACTGTAAAATACTCCCTTTGTTATTGTTAGAGGACTCACTGGTTTCTTTTCATAAGCAAAAAGTACCTCTTCTTAAAGTTCACTTTGCAGAAGTTTCACTCCTTTTCTGATGAGTTTGAGTCAGGAGCTTTACCTTTTGGCAGAGCAGCATTAACATCCAGTTGGTTCACCTAGGGAGCAAGGAGGCTGACCGTGGGGCTCACCATGTGGATGCCGGTGACTCCGGTTGCTGAAGAAGGTGTTCATGTAACACTCTGAGGTGGAGGCCTCAGGAGAGAAATGTCAAGACTGGTTTGGATTTTAAGCTAATGTGAAATCTTGGCAGAGAATTTCAACGTTTTAATAAATAAATGCCTTAAGAGTATTTCAAACATGCTTCCATATTTCAGAATATAAAATGTAACATGATAGGAGATTTTGGCTATCTGACATTATGTCTGGGAAGGAAGGGCCAGACCTTGGAACCTCTGGAACCTGCGTTCACAGGCCTTGCGGGGCTGCCTGAATCCTCATAGGCTTAGGCTGTGGCCCAAAAAGAAAGTGTAACAAGTTACTCTGTAAAGCCCTTTGGTGTCCTTGACCAATTGTGTCCCTGCTAGGAAGCAAGAGGCATTGCCGCCTGGCTGAATAGAGGGTGTGTTTCAGCCCTGGTATGTTGAGTTGAAGAGCTCGATTTTCATTGAGATTTCTCTGACGATTTTTCCAATTATCCCTGAAATTTCTGTGTATTGTGTTTCTTAGGAAAGGAGCTGTGTCCAGTTTTTAAATCTTAACAACTACTTTTTGGGACTTGCCCACTGCTCTGGGATTTGAATGGGGGTTGTGTCCCATTTTACTGTCTTTAAAGTTTACATTTAACATGTTTCTCTTCTCTGCTCCCCTTGCCCACTGGGGACCTCTCTTTGGCTCCTTAAAGTCTGCTGTTTGAGTGGGAGTTGAGCAGGCAGGCTGTTATGCTGCAAATTCTCTCTGGGCCTCTAGCGGAGGGAGTGACCAGTGAAGGCCATCTCTGTCTTGGGATCTGCAAGGCTGGGTGTTTTTGGTACCACCTGTCCCCAGCCCTCCACTGTTACTGGACTATTTTGCCAGTGCACTAATCTCCTTGGAGATAAAATTCATTAGCGTGTTACTAAATGTTAACTTTCTTTTGCAGAAAATACAGTACCATGTCTGAATTAATTATTAATATTTAAAATATTTCATTCCTTCACACTCCCTCATTTGCTTTGTCCACGGCCTATTCAGTTCCTTTGTTAGGCAGAATTCTGCAAAATGTGTGCCACCCACTACTGAGATTGTTCTGCCCCTGATGTGTTTGTATTGATTTGTTTCTGGTGGTAGCTTGTCCTAAAATGTGTGTAGAAAGCAGGTATTTTATGATAAAATTGTTGTGTAGTGTATGCTCTGTGTGGAATTCAGAGGAAAATCCAGATTCAGTGATTAACAATGCCAAAAAAATGCAAGTAACTAGCCATTGTTCAAATAACAGTGGTGCTATTACTCTTTTGAAGCCTTTTAGACTTTTGTTGCCCTACAGTCCCATTTTACTGGGAACCCATTTGCCACCTGGTCTTTCTTGACAGGGTTTTTTTCTACTTTTAAACAGTTTCTAAATAAAATTCTATATTTCAAGAAAAAAAATAGTTTAAAGGGCTAATTTCCTATTAAACTACAACTTACCAAAATAAAAGAAAAAGAAAACTGGAACTGATCCGGAGTCATTTAAGTTTGTTTAAAAACGTATTCCTCATAAATTTCTGTTTAATAAAAGGTGCTACTAAGAGTATAAAATGACAAGTTATAGAAAACATAAATGAAAGGCAAGTCACAGAATAGAAGATATTTGTATAAATATACCCATAGTTATATTAAAAAAAACCGATAAAGACCACAAACTCAGAATATACATATATATAGTGTGTGTATGTATGTATATACATCTGTCTGTGTGTATAAATGTGTGCGGTTATATGTACTATAACTTTTGAGAGAAAAAAACTGATAGAAAATGGCAAAATATTTGAACAAGTATTTCATAAAAGAGGATATCCAAATGGTCAAACACATAAAATGTTCAATTTCACTAGGGATAAGGGAAATGCAAATTCAAACTTCAGTGATTTACATAGTCACTGAAAAATTTTAAATGAAAAGGCTGACAATACTAAGTGATGATAAGGATGTGAAGCAACTGGAATTTGTGCACTCCTAGTGGGAGTGTAAGTCGTTCCAACTGCTACAAGAAATGCAGTATCCACTCAAATTGCCCTATGTATCCCCTAGGACTCAGGAAGTCTAATTAATCCTAGGTATACACCAACTGAAGTGTGTGTGCATGTGTGTTTAAGTGTATATGTATAAAAATCCTAGAAGAAAGTTCATAGTAGTCTATTTGTAGGAACCAAATACTAGAACAATCCAAATACCCATTACCAATAAATGGATGAATAAGTACAATCATCTATTCCCATGACAGAATACTGTACTACAGTTAAAATGAACTATCTCTCATGCAGTAACACAGTCGCATTTCATAAACGTAGTAAACCAAAGAAGCCAAACACAAAAGAGGACATAGTACATGATTTCCCTTTATATATATAAAGTTCAAAGCTAGTCTACAGTATTCTAAAGAAAATGTTTGTTCAGCTTTGAGAATGTGTATGATGAACCACCCCTATGCTTGGGAATTTTACAAAACACATTCTGGTCTTCTTTGAAACCAGGCTTCCAGTTAGCTGTAAAATGACACCTGACCACTCACAAAGAAGAGTTACAGTTCACATTGTAAGTCACCTAGAGACCTGACCTCAGAAAGTTTGTATATTCTCTCCTTTTTAAGTCTACATCAAGCTCTTCCAATTTCTGCGTAAACAATGACTTTATTTCAGTAGTGCTGCTCTTCCTGCCAGGTGAGCAAAATTCAGCTGTATTTACAGTTGTTATTTTGTATTTCTTATTAACAGTTGGTCAAGTCAGGATGCTGGGGGCACTTAAAAGGAAGATATAAGGTGCCCTGGTGGGGTGCTGGTAATATTCAATTTCTAGAACTGTGGTGGTTACATAGCTATGTTAATTCTGTGTAAAGTTGTTGAGTTCTGCTGTTATGATTTAATTGTATGTCAACAAAATTCACTGTAAGAACTGCAAGGTTGTGTTGCAGCTAAAAATGTTTCAAAAGTAAACCAAGGGCGGAGCCAAGATGGTGGCATGAGTAGTTCAGTGGAAATCTCCTCCCAAAAACATATACATCTATGAAAATACAATAAATACAACCCTTCCTCAAAGAGACACCAATGGATACAGTACAAAGGCCAGGCTACATCTACAACTGCAAGAACTCAACATTACACAAAGGGGGTGAGATACAAGCCGCGGCCCGGTAGGACCCAAATGCCCCCTCACCCCAAAACCTGGTGGGAAGAAAGGAGTCAGAATGGGGAGGGAGTGAAAGCCCAGAACTGCTAAACAACCAGCTCTAGAAATCTGCACTAAAAGCGCAGACACATGGTGCATGGGGTGCTGGATATTAGAGAAATGGAAAAGCAAAACCTGTAGGCAGGTCCCCACAACTGGTGCCCCTGAAATAAAAGAAAAGCGAGTGCTTTTTGCAAGTCTTAAAGAGACAGTGACCCCACAGCTGGACAAAGTTCTCCCAGCACACTTAGCCAGCAGTTGGGAATCCCAGGGAATTTTAGGAGCCCTAAGCCCCTGGGCAGCAGCACAGCTCTGAAGCCCCTCACAGCAATAAGCAGCCTGCCAGTGGTTCCCCCAATAAGCACGGACAAGCAGTGATTTTACAACACTTCACTATGCTGATGGACAGTAACTGTAATGGGGTTTGTGGGGGGACTTGGGGTAGGGGAGAGCCCAGTAAACATAATGCTCTTCATGTAATTGGAGATTAATGATAACAAAAAAAGAAAAAGAAGTTAAAAACAAAAAGCTAACCTTGAACCTCTCATAACCACAAACTTAAAGCCTGCAATGGCAATAAGTAGATATCTTCCAATAATCACCCTAAATATAAATGGACTAAATGCACCAATCAAAACACACAGAGTAACAGAATGGATAAAAAAGCAAGACCCAACTATCTGCTGCTTGCAAGAGACTCACCTCAAACCCAAAGACATGCACAGAATAAAAGGTAAGGGATGGGAAAAGATATTTCATGCAAACAACAGGGAGAAAACAGCAGCGGTTGCAGTACTACTATCAGACAAAATAGACTTCAAAACAAAGAAAGTAAAAAGAGATAAAGAAGGACATTACATAATGATAAAGGGCTCAGTCCAACAAGAGGATATAATCATTATAAATATATATGCACCCAACACAGGAGCACCAACATAAGTGAAACCAATACTAACAGAATTAAAGGAGGAAATAGAATACAATGCATTCATTTTGGGAGACTTCAACACACCACTCACTCCAAAGGACAGATCCACCAGACAGAAAATAAGTAAGGACACAGAGGCACTGAACAACATACTAGAAGAGATGGACCTAATAGACATCTACAGAACTCTACATCCAAAATCAACAGGATGTACATTCTTCTCAAGAGCACATGGAACATTCTCCAGAATAGACAAAATACTAGGCCACAAAAAGAGCTTCAGTAAATCCAAAAAGATTGAAATCCTACCAACCAACTTTTCAGACCACCAAGGTATAAAACTAGAAATAAATTGTATAAAGAAAGCTAAAAGGCTCACAAACACATGGAGGCTTAACACCATGCTCCTGAATAATCAATGGATCAATGAACAAATTAAAATAGAGATCAAGCAACATATGGAAACAAATGAAAACAACAACACAAAGCCCCAACTTCTGTGGAATGCAGGAAAGTCTTAAGAGGAACGTATATAGCAATCCAAGCATTCTTAAAGATGGAAGAAAAATCCCAAATAAATAGTCTATCACAATTATCAAAATTGGAAAAAGAAGAACAAATGAGGCCTAAAGGCAAAAGAAGGAGGGACATAATAAATATCAGAGAAGAAATAAACAAAATTGAGAAGAACAAAACAGTAGAAAAAAA